TTTTTTCAGAGTGATTTTTCTTCGGTTGCAATGACTCGGTCTGGACTGTCATTGGAAGAATTAAGAATTGTGGAAGGGCAGGGTCAGAATTCGGAGGTCATCACTCCTCCAGAAGAGATCAACAGAATAAGTGACATAGGTAAGAAAGAAAGATATGGAGGTTTGGGAAAATTTAAAGGAAATTTGGGAAACTTTGTCAATTTTAGAAAGGGGTTTGGAGCATCCTTCAAGAGTATTATATGGAGTGAGAGGTGTTACCTCTGGGTTGGATATGGTAAATGTTGGAGTTTCTGTGTAGTTCTTCATGTAAAGAAAAACAGTACCCAGACACTTGGAGTTTTTGATCATCAAAATAGTACAGATTCATAAAGAACATGATACTAGTGATACTAGAATAATTGGTATGATAGGGCTGATCTGTTGCATGAGGAATATTAGAAAAGCACCGTGATTTCATATGGCTGTTTGTATGTCTCTTAAGACCTGAAATCTTCCACTTTGCTGGATGGAAAGATGACTATGGAAGGATTCACTGAGGAAATTGGTGATCATTTGAAACTGGGTAGCGTGTTTACCTTCCGTGTGACAGTGCTACAAGCCAGCGGCATCCTTCCTGAATATGCAGATATTTTCTGCCAGTTCAAGTAAGAATTCCTCCCAGTTTTCATTAGGCAGCGAGTGGCTTAACAGGAGAGCAAATAGTGAGAAATAAAGCATCTGACCGAGAGCTTTCAAATGATTATGATAGGGATTTTTCCTCTGCTGTAAGACACTATTGGTCATTGGAATTCATGTTATGAACATTACCTGCTTTATGTTAATGTAGTGTTTAGGAATAAAGATTTTGGAGAAAGGAGTTGAGAATCAGAGTGGGTTCTTAGTGACTCTAAATAGAGATATCTTACATTTTTGTTTGTAATGTAACTTTTAATGTTGAAAGTTTGGTATTAGATTATGCATATGCCCAGCTAGAATAAAAGCTATATGACTGTTGGGTCAATCAGTGGCTCTCAAGTGATTGCATTGTTCTGCTTAGGTTCTTAAGAAATAGCATGAAAATTGAGAGTAATGAAGGTATAAACAAGTACAGAAATTCTGTTCTCAAAGATCAGAATATTTCTAGCTTTAAGCCATCACTCAGCTCTGTTTTAAGTTGCCACCAAAATAAATAAATAAAAGTATTTTCTTTGTCATGTGCACAGCAATCTCCACTGAATGGTCATGCTGATCTATTTATTTTTTTTTAGCTTTTTACATCGACATGATGAAGCTTTCTCGACTGAACCCCTCAAAAACAATGGTCGGGGGACTCCCCTTGGGTTTTACCATGTTCAAAATGTAAGTAAAGCCTATAGCTGTGTAGTAAGTGTCTGCTTTATCACTAGGAAATTGTATTTATCCTTCCTATGAACATCATGAGAGGTTTGTAGGAAAGACTGAAGGGATTGTGAAGAATAGACAATAGGAGGAATGATCACGTGGGTGATGTAATCCCCAACGGAGAACAAAATAATGTGTCTGTGTGGAAGATTTAACTCTTCCATTTCACCTCTGCTTCCTGCTTTTGGATTCCTTTTATCTATTCCACTTCTCAGGATGCTCAATGAAAGCATCTTAGCATTTAGCAAATAAAATTTATATGTAAATAGCAGTGCTGAGGGTTTTGATTGAACTGAAAATATCTGCCCTTATCTGTAGTGTAATCTTTTTGTTACAAGTATGTTCAAATGCCTGTCTTGAGGCTTTCATTTTCTCCTTCAGTGGAAGGTAGAATAAAAAGTAGGCGGTGGAAAATGTAAACCCTTGAACCCCAGGTTTTTAAAATTTCCTTTATATGTGTTTCATTTCACTTCCTTCCTTTGAGATTGCTGTGGAAGTGACAGAGTCGTTTGTGGAGTACATCAAAACGAAGCCTATTGTGTTTGAAGTTTTTGGGCATTATCAGCAGCATCCTCTCCACCTGCAAGGACAGGATCTCAACAGGTATTGTTCACTGTTCTGGCATAAAGGCTGTGATTAGGCTCAGATCAGCTCTGCTGTTTAGGCGGTACTCTTTTTGGAATTATATAGCCACATTCTCACCAGCAGAATTCCTAACTGGTGTAAGCCTGTTGGTAAAGGACTATTTACCCAGCATAGCGTGTTTTGTTAATGGACAGTGGGCTTGTTCTATCATTTTAAATATGAAAAGCTGCTTTGCTGATACAGCTGCATGCA